CCCCAAAACCCCAAAACCCCAAAACCCCAAAACCCCAAAACCCCAAAACCCCAAAAAGTTCAGATTAGTTTATAAGATTTAACAAAAACATGAAAATTCGGACGAATAACATCGGAGGATTTTTCATTTTCCTCCTTACTCTTGCTTTGCTGGTATTCGGAATCATAGTAATGAACTATCTATGCATTCTGTACTGGTTTGAAGAGCCAGCGGTTGAGAAAAGGATGGTTTCAGTGATCCCAACTACTAATATTGGAACAGTCATTTTTATCTTGTTTAATTTTCTTGGATATTTGAGCACTGTCTCTCATCTTAGAGCAAGTTTGACTGATCCAGGAATTATTACTCCAGATATCCTTCCTCCCTCTGATTTTCCGAAGGAAGATATAAAGCCATGCAAGAAATGTAACTTGAAATGGAAGCCAATGAGAGCCCATCATTGCTCAGAATGCAATGTATGAATATTCAAGATGGATCATCATTGCCCATGGATCAATAGTTGTGTAGGAATAAAGAACACTAAGTACTTCTTCTTATTCACCCTGTACACAGGTCTAGGTGCTCTGTTTGCTATTGCTCTCTTAATCACTGGATTTATCCTGTTATTGCAGGATACAACTGACACTCATTATAGCAAAAGTGGATATCCAGTAGCATTCTTCCTTTGCGTCTGAGTATTAATAGAGTCTATTTTGTTCTCCTTCTTTACTCTAGAATTAGTTGGAGAACAAATTGAGTCTTTTCAAGACAACCAAACATACATTGATGATTTGAAGGATCTCATAGGAGTTCCTCTGACCCTAGGTGAGGCCTTTAAGGAATGGATTGGAGAGGACTGGACATTCTGGTGGCTTCCAACGCAACCGGTCTTAAAATTGAACTACTGCAGTCGTCTTTACAAAATGCAAGAAATTATTTCTAGAAAATATCAAGAATACGAGAAGTTAGAATATGATACAACTGGAAAGTATAAAGCTATAGCATTGCAAGAGGCTAAACAGGATAGACTGAAGTTCTTTGGATTCACAGTAGCTATGGTAGTGACCTTATATTTTATAGTAGTCATGTTTTAAATAATTCAATCGTCATTGGCATATTTGGGGTTTTGGGGTTTTGGGGTTTTGGGGTTTTGGGG